GAAACTAAAAGAATTCCCCACCAGCAGGCCTACACTACTAATAATGATAAAATAAATTATCTAGGCTGAAGGGAAATAATACCAGACAAACTCAAAAATTCAGGAAGGAATGAAAAGCATGGAAATAGCAGCTATGGTGGACATAGTGTATTCACTCAGAATCTCCTTCAAAGAATGACGTTTTGCTGTTACTACTAGAAGCACTATCGGCAGACAGCCGGCAGTTCTCAGCATCTTCAGAGATCAACTCAACGATTTTGCCCAAAGTCAGGCCCTTCTCTGGGTATCCCACATTCAATGACTGATTGAGATAAAGATATAAAGGTCCGGCCACATTGATTCAATGGAGGGCCTCTCTAAGACCTTTCTAACTCCACAGCTCCCCATGGGAATCAGATAAGGTTGTCAAGGGTTGAAATTGCAAATGGACTTCACCCTCTGCAAACTTGCCCTTCCTTCCAGGTGTTTCTTCCACTGTCCTTCCTAATAAACATTCTCTACTCAAAACTCTATCTCAAAGTTTGATTCCTGGAGAGCCTGCAACAGCATCAACAACTCAAAGGAACAGATATTTTTAAAGAAAATGGTTTGCTTCTAAGACCTTTCAGTCTAGTTTCTGGTACTTTTCTATACTGCTTTCCATAAACACAAATAGGATTTGGTTCTTAAGATTGTTCCTAGGTTTTTTTTGGATGGACAAGGCATATAAACGCCAGCTAAAAAAATGTCAAAATTGTTTGCTCAGTGTTCATGCATGAACAATGTTGTTTCTTCCTGGAAATAATTAACTGGTTGTGACTATTACATGAGTTTTGTTACAACATCCAAAGCTATTTCATAACCACAGATCATCTCCCTAATCCTAATCAGAAGTTATCAAATGTGTGTCAGTGGTAACACACACTGGGAAAGTGTGTCAGTGGTTACTGAATTTTAGTCACTGTGCAGTTTGATTTTTCAGATAAAACATAAAACCAAACGACACTGAGTTATTTCATTAACTAGCACCATTGACTGAAATACTCATGACGTTATCGGGAGGCTACTGTAAAACTGTCTCGTCTCCTTATTTCTATTCTCAACCTATCAGCATCCTTATATCTAACTTCTCATCTTACTCCTCAAGTTCAAAAGACTTTTCCTCTTCTTATTTAAGGTTAAAAATTCCCCTCCCTCCTCTTCTCAGATCTTGCTCTCTGTTCATTGAGAAGAAAGAGATAATTTTCACTCTNAAATTCCCTTCCCTCCTCTTCTCAGATCTTGCTCTCTGTTCATTGAGAAGAAAGAGATAATTTTCACTCTTATGACCCAAATACAAAAGTATCTAATGCCTATTCTACCATTTTTATCTCTCTATGAGGACTCTCTTTGTGGAATCCTCCACTCCATGGCTGCTTCACAAATCCTAGATTTTGCTGTATTTCCAGGTACCTATAGGAATTTTTTTCCTGGTTCTCCTCCCTCCCTGTAGTGAATTTAACATCTTCCCCTGCAAAGAAACTTCCCTTCTCAGCCACCAATGTCTCACAGCAGAATCATAGGACTTTCTAAAATGGAAACTCAAGGGTAGGAGCTCTTAACTACTGCTGCAAAGTAAATCTTTTACCAAGTGCCACTCCCACTGAAGGGGACACTGCTGCCACATCATTCTCTAAAAATACTGCTTTATTATATTATTTTTCTGTTCACAAAACAACAGACGGTGCCTCAATGCTTATGCACAGTATCCAAGTTCCTCTGTTTAGTTATTGAGGACCCCTGAAATTCAGCCTTATTTCCTGTGATCATATAACACACAATCTCCATTCCATCAGACCAAAGTTCTTTCTCTTCCCAAACCACCTTGCTTTTGTTCATGCTGCACATCTGCTCCTTCTTATTTGTATCTCTACCTTTCCACATCGATCCAAACCTATCATTCAAGGCCCAGGTCAAGACCCATCTCCTCTATAAAGTCTTTGGCAACTCCATCCCACTGTAATTTCTCAACTCTATCCGACTATAATTTCTCAACTCCATCTCACTGTAATTTCTCTCATCTCTGGATTTTTACATGATTCATAGACAATTTCAAGACTGACTGATTTAAAATGTTCTCTTGCCCTGGCTGGATAGCTCACTTGGTTAAAACAGAGTCCCCATATGCCAAGGTTGTGGGTTTGAGCCCCAGCCTGGGCACATACAAGAATCAACCAATAAGTGCATAAATAAGTGGAACAACAAATTGATATTTCTTTCTCTCTCTCCTTTTGTCTTTCTCTAAAAATCAATAAATTTAAAAAAGTAATAATAATAAATAAAACATTCTCTTAAATTGTCATCTTACCTTGATTTCCCTAATTTAGTTTGCTTATAACTTTTAAGCACTATTCACAGACATGCACACACCCTTCATACACATTCAGTGTTCTTAACAATGACTTTGGTTAATTCATTAATTGCTTAAGCATGGATGTTCAGAGAAAACACACCTAAAATTACTGTAAAATGTTTTGCAACTATCACAAACCAGGAAAGGAAGCTAGGATTGAAACTACAGAGGACAAACCCCTTCTTTTTTACAACTTCTTTTTTATTAAGTAGGATATGATTTCACAATTGCTTTTAATTTTTTATTCCATCTTTTGCAAACCTGCTGAAGCTACTAAACAGCGGCTTGATTTTATCTCTTCTTGTTACTGCCTGCCCCCTAGTGGAACATAATGATAAGTAGTCAAAATAAGCCCAAGGAAGAAAAAAAGGAGAGAATTCCTTTTCAATAATTCACACATAATCTCATCATCAGTGACGTTTATAAAGTGTAGAATCATACTGATTGGAATAGCAAACTATAATTTGAACACAAAAAGAAACTAGAAGACAACCGGCTAATATAAGGAGGAAGAAGCAGTGTGGGGTATAGGGAACACAAAGAAAGGAGACCAGACACAGAGTTCTGATTTTGGACCACTTAAGATGTTTTTAAATCTTTCCCCTCAGGTATTGTCTGAATAAACTTTGTCTACCAACTACCACATATCTTGAATTTATAAACAAATGGGTAAAGATAAAAGTAAATAGATTTTTTTAATGCTATCTTTTACATTAAAGTCACTAGCTCCCTTGCTCCTTTGTAAATTTACCTTGTATATTGAAGTGAGTTTTTTACCTTTGGAAGTATTAATAAGCGAAGAAGTATGAGTAATAAAGACAAATTAATGCCCAAGTGGCCTGCTTCTCATTATTCTAAATTATTTCATGGTGAATTTATCATGTGAAATCACTGCACGTAATTTGCTTTCCTGCGTCTTGATTCTAAACATTTTGATAACTTTATAATTATGTAAGCACAGACTCAGCTATTTGATATATGCAGTATCCCTAGTTGTGTTTAGAAATCATTTTAAAATTCAACCCTTTAAACCACTGAAATTCAAAATTATCAATTATGTTTTAATCTTTGCAGGGGGATGAAATATTTATTTAATGTATAGTTGACATACAATATTATATTGTATGTCAATATTAGTTTCAGGTGTACAACACAGTGATTTGGCATTTATGTATCTTACAATGTGTTCACCACACCAAATGTAGTAACCATCTGTCATCGTGCAAAGTCATGACACTATTATAGACTATATTATGTTAATCTTGATTTTTTTTCTTCACCCAAGTCATAGTGCAGCTTGACATAAATGGCTTCCCTGCCAAGTTGGGTCTTGAATGGTTTTCTTTACACGTTTTCTCCAATAAGATCTCAACTATTAAAAGATTCAGATCACTGGATTTTTTTATGAGTAAATATTTCACTAAGTTTATAATATTAGCTTACCTTTTTTTTTTCCAGTGGTGCTATAAATAGCGGTGCTCTTTATAATGTGAAAAGTAGAGTGGCTAAATATTGAGGAACATTGCCCATCCGAATGTTTACAGTTGCTTACAGACGCTTACAGTTGCACCCAGGTATGACTCTGCCATACACTGTTCGTGTGGGACAAATCATTTCACCTCTCTAAGCCTCAGTTTCTATCTTTGTAAAACGGAGAAATGTCTTTTGGGCCTGTTTCGCTGAGTTGCTTTGCAAATCAAAGGAGAAAAAGCATGTGAAAATTCTGCACAGAAAGGTACAGTAATACAGTATGGTTATTTCGTGTGTGCTCACCAGGAAGATTATCACGTGAAAAACAGATTTTTTTTTTTTTGCTGGAAGATAGGCAATATTTTTAAGTCATTCATACGAGAGAGAAAAAACACCTCTTCTTCTTTCAATGATCAAATTATAAAATTTAAAACCAACTACACTGTTTCCTTGCCACTGCTCCCATTTACTAAAAGTGAAACCTGAAAACTCCCTCCCACATCAACTCCTACCAACCCTCTATAGTGAAACCAGGACACCCCCACAATAGTCCCAAGTCCTCTACAACACCTACAGGAACCTAGACATTGAAGAGTGTGTTCTCTAGTTCAGAAAGTGTCTTTTACAACCTACACATCTTAAAACTAAATACAGACATACATCATAGATGCACCACCAAACTCTGAGTATATTATATTTTAAAAAGCACCTGGTCATAGAAAGTAATAAAAAGCAATAAACTTTCCTAATTTATACTGTTGACAATATGGACCTAAATAGATTAGGACTATTATTTTAAAATTTTTTTAAAGGGAAGAGAAGATAAAGAGAACCCAGATGACTTGGATTGCTACTAGAAATTATTTAATGTATTCAGCCTGGTTCAAAAAAGGGAGAGGGGGAAATAAGGAAGTGGGCAGCGAGGCAAATCACAGAGATGAGTATACTGTAGCAGGATACAAAATTTTAAAAGTACAACAAAGAGGAAAATAAGAATTATAAAGTGAAACAAATCTGGGAGCAACCCCATCCCCATATCTGTGACTGTATTTATCTTGTATTGCTCCATAAGAAAGGCAAAGAAAGCTCAGGAAAATCTGAGACCAGCTTTCTCACTAGTCATTCTCCTGTCACTCTTCCAAAGACAATTCAAACTTACCAGCCACTAAGAAGACAGTCAACATCAGTAGTAGCTGTAGGTCAGAAGTTCTCCAAGAGCAGGGCATTTCTGTGCTCTTACTTTCCGCCCTTCACTCAGTCAGGTATAAAAGGAGCTGCAGACATGGTGGGGCTCTCTCTGCTCGACTTCGGGCTGGATCCTCTTAGCCCATCAGCAGCGGGACACTCATTTCCTCCTGGCCCCTTCCTTCAACTCTATGTGTTTTTGACTGATTAGTAACTTGGAACAGAAGACACTCTTCTCTGGAACTTGACCCAGCAATAGATTTCCTGTATGAAGCATTGAAGCAAAGACGGAGGAAGCAGATTGATTGAGTTGTCTTTCAGCTCATTGGTTCTCCTCTCACTTCTGCTGTACGCAGATAAACTTTACAGTAAAGCATGGAACGTGCCTAAGATAAACGGGTTTGTCTAAGCTTGGATTAAAAAGCAAACCAGAATATTTGTCTATTTTTGGCCCATCTCTTTAAACTTCCCAGGCATGATAATTTATGGAGGCTCCTCCAGATTGGAGAGGTGGACAGCCTCAGTAACAAAGTTTGTAATAAAATATTTTCCTTGAAAATTCTTGCATGAAATTATTGTCTATAATACTTACAACTCTAGATGTATCATAGGTGTATTGCTTTCCTATCCCTACTGTAACAAATTACCACAAACTGAGTGACTTAAAACAACACAAATGAATCTTATAGTTTTAGAGGTTAGAAGTTCACAATGGATCTTATGAGACTAAAATCAAAGTGTGGGCAAGGCTATATTCTTTCTGGACATGTGGACAGAATCTGTTCACTGACTTTTCCAGCTTCTAGAGATTACCAGCATTCCTTGGCTTGTAGCTGCAACATTCCCATTCCCTATTCGGATGTCACATTCTCTGATTGTAACCCTCCTACTTCCCTCTTATAAAGACCCTTGGAATTATATTGCACCAACCAGATAATCCAGAATAATCTTCCTATCTCAAAATCTTTAATTTAATCACATCTACAAATTTCCTTTTCCCATGTAAATTTACCTATTTACAAGTTTCAGAGGTTAGGTCATAGACTCTTGGTGGGGGGAAGGGGGAGTATTATTTTATCACAATTTCATACTTATTTCCATTCACTTCACTTTTGAAGAGCTGGACTGATCATTTGAACCAAATCACAAATAAACACTCATCTTCAGTTGTCACAGAGCTGTAATTGAGAATTACAAAAAACAAAACTAACAACAAAAAACCTCTGCCTTAATGTTTGGGATTTAAACATTTAGATTATGTTTGAGAGGAAAGCAATTCTTTATGTGTTAAGAATTTTCTACCCCAAGGCAGAACTCTCCAGGAAGGGGAAGAAAGCATTGCAAACAGGAAAAGATTAAACAACATGCATTTTTTTTCTTTTTAAGTTAACAGTTTCATCTTTCCTGTTGCCAAACAGTAAACTGTATATATTCTCCCCCTCTTCTTCTCTAGCTTCCCTTTCAGTGGATCAGTTTGGTTAACACAGTGAAATCAGGTGCTTGAGGGCACGCAATACTTGAAGATGTGAGCTATGTGACAATGAGGGACTATAGCAAAAATAACTTCCCTGCTGTCTAATATTGTACCATATGTCAGAAAATCAGTGATGAAATATCAGTTCAAATATAACATTCTGGCTTCCACCACATTGATTTTAAAGTTCATAGTATTTAAGACCATGAGTGCTTATAACAGCTAGACCTGGCATTGAGTCTCTGCTGGGCACTTACTAGTCCATTGATACTAGGTAAGTTTCTTAATCAAGTCAGGAACCTGTTTTTTCCATTTATATTATACTTACATGAGCATTTCCTTATATCATCAAAACTTGGTGACCATTGCTCAATGACAGCCAAAACTAAAGCATAGAAGGGCTACATGGCCTGCTTAATGTCTCAGGGTGACTTAGTGACACAGCTGGAAGTAAAACTCAAGTTTCATGCTTGCTAGCCCTGTGTTCTTTCCACTCAACTCTTCTGGTTTGAAACTTTAGGCAACGACTTTCATAGACATACTCCAATGCACTTATCTCAGATCAGACCACAATCTACAATCAGCAGTTTTAGAATCAAGTGAGTGGTGTCAAAAATCATAGAATTCTAGAAGTAGATTCGGCAGGATGAGACTTCCTACTCCCCTCCTTTATCCCCTCCAATAAAGGGACCAAGTGTTTGTTAGCATAACCAGCCACTAAAGATATGTCATGAAAGTCAATATAAGAGGAAAAGGTGCTTGTCTAGTAAATGCACATCTCTGGAAAATCTAAGGGACCCAGATTCTCCTTATTTGTGCCCTTTGGGCACCAGGACCCAAAAAGCAGAGCAGAAGAACAAGACAAGACAAAAAGAAAGGTGCAACACAAACCACAAACACAAAACTTTTACTCCACCAGTCTTCCAACTCCTCTTCAATACTACTAATTAAGAATCAGTGCACATGAAAGGCTAACAGAACAATGTTATTGCTGGTTAATGTGGTGAGCTTGGTAAGCTTTAGTAAGCCTTAGTAAGTTAGAACTGCTTTAAGACATAGTGCCCCCAAATTTGCAGTTGATTTACTCAAAAATTGACTTATCTGCCCATAAATGCTTTTTTAAAAATGCTTTTGAAGTAAAAATTTTCCAGTCAGGTGTATTTTTTTTTTAAATGTATCTTCATTGATTTCAGAGAGAGGAAAGGAGAGGGAAAGAGAGATAGAAACATCAATGATGAGAGAGTCATTGATCGGCTGCCTCCTGCAGGCCCCACACTAAGGATTGAGCCTGCAGCCCAGGTATGTGCCCTGACCCAGAATTGAACCTCGATCTCTTGGATCCTAGGTCAATGCTCAACCGCTGAGCCACACCCGCCAGGCCCTACTCAGGTGTATTTGTCTCCAANGCCAGGCCCTACTGAGGTGTATTTGTCTCCAATGTCAGATTCAGACTTAGCCACAACAGCAAACCAGTTAGAGGGCATTGCTGTCTTGCCATTGACATGCCTCTCCTTTATGTAGAAGCTTTGCGTGGATCTTGACTACTTACTGCACAGACACTAATGACCTTTTATTCCTGACCTCTCGTTCTCCACTGCCTGCTCTTTCACCTCTTGAATTTGAGTCTCTACTGCCTAGAACTCAAGTACTTGCCTAACACCTTAGCTAAACTTTCTGGAGGTATATCTTTGCAAAAATGGGCCAATACCNACCTGCCTCTAACACCTTAGCTAAACTTTCTGGAGGTATATCTTTGCAAAAATGGGCCAATACCTACTTGCGTTGTCATTTTTACTTTATGTGAACTCTCTTAGGTGTGTGTCCTGACTTAGCCTTCCACAGTGTGCACACACATGCATACTCACACATACTACTAAACACTATCCCAAGTCCCTCAATCTCTCCTGTCCTACCGCTGCCCAAGTACTGATGTAACAATTTCAAAGAGGTGAAAGAACAACCCCTATCAGTGTGAAGAATTTCAAGGAACTCACGCTCTATAACACTCCACTCTTTACTTTACTTCCCTCCCTGACCTCGTAGCACAGTGATTAGAGATATGAAACTAATGATTTACCACAGAGCACTATAATTCAATTACTTCATAAAATGGCTGCTCTCCTGACCATATCCTGTTTTCCTGTTTTCCAATTCACTTCTCTACAGTCTTCATAGACTCAAGCTCTGAAGACGCATCTGAAATCCTGGATCTCCTTCCATGTACAGTCACTAGATGTACTAATGAGTAAGTTAAAAGAGCCTCACAAAATGTATTACCTATTTTTACATTCTACTATATCATTGATATTTACCTTGAAATTTTTCACTTGCAATATACAGTTGATGTTTTATCACCTCCGTAATTCCCCTTTGAAAGTTAGTAAAAGATATATCAGATGAGGGTTAATCATTATTTTTCAATATAAAATCACAGATTGTGCAAAAAGAACAATTTAGAAATAGACGCTTTAAAACAAAATGTGTGCAGTAGCAAATAAAAAGTAAAACCAGGAAACAGAAATGGTTAACCACATTTTATATTTTACTAAGTATCAATTTTAGACCTCGATGATCATATCCACAGTCAATAATCAAGCCCTTAGCCTAACACCCAGGCCCTGTTCTAAACACTTTATAAATATGGCCTCATTTAATCCTCTCAACAAACATGAAGTAAGCATCACTGCTACCCCATTTTACAGTTGAAGAAACTGAAGCCAGAGAGGTTAAGTAAGTTGTCCAATCACACAGCTAATAAGTGATGGAAACAGGATTCAAGCCCAAGAAATCTCACTCCAAAACCTGTTTCTTAGTTATGTCGCTAATTACTAAGTATTTTTTTAACTCTGTCTTGTCTCCAATCCATCTTCCACACTCCTCACCCCTCCTAAATCATCTATTCACTCACTCATTCTTCTAGTTGGGCACTCTTACAACTTCATAGTTTGTTTAGAAGAAAACCTGAGAGAAAGAGAAAAAGAAACTGTGCTTCTCTAATCCTTGTTGCCTTAAGAGCATTCTCTGCTGCCCCCTGGAGATAATTTGGTGAAACCAAAGCTAGTGTTTTCATAAACTGATTTAGCAAATTCAATAACGGCTGCACTTTGAGAATTTGATCACAAAGTATGCTAACAGGCTAAACATTGCACATTTATTTATATTCTTTGGAGACTAGTTAAACAACTGGTTAACTGATAACTAGTATAGATATTATAACCTGAAGAAATAGTACTGAAAAGAATAATAATGAGATGCCAGGAAGGCTTAATAAAACCAGTAGAGATAGATGGGTGGGTGGATGAATGGATAAATAGATGGAATAATGAATGGAAGATAGAGTCAAAGACTCATTCCAGATAAATCTGAAGTAGATTGTCATTGGTTGTGTACTCTGGGAAGCAAATGGTGGAATGGAGTTTAGTGTGAAGGATGATTATTAAGAAGTAACCTTAGATCACTTCTTATAGAACTGAAGAGACAGAAACTAGATGGGTAGAGGGAGAAGTCAAACTAGAAGATAGGCCCACAGTAGGCTCAGCTAACCCATGGGGAGATCTGGAGTTTGAACTGCCCTTTAGAGATATCCTCTGTTGAGCTGAAATGGCCAGTCTTAATA